GCTGCCAGGCCTGGGGCAGCCACAGCCTCCCTGGGCAACCTGGGACAGTGTCTCACCACCCTCACAGGGAAAAATACTGCCTAATACCTAATCTTGATTTCCCTGTTTCAATTTCTCCCCATTACTCCTTGTCCTGTCACTCCAGGCTGAGAGAGCTGGAGCTGTTCAGCCCACAGAGGAGAAGGTTGTGTGGAGACCTTGGAGCAACTGGCCAGGAGCTGAAGGGGCTCCAGGGAAGCTGCAGAGGGACTATTGGTTAGGAACTGCAGTGACAGGACAAGGAATAATGTGTTCAAACTGAAAGAGGGGAAGTTTAGGCCAGGTATCAGGAAGAAATTCTCCTCTGTGAGGGTGGTGAGACAGTGGCACAGATTGCCCAGAGAAGCTGTGGCTGCCCCAATCCTGGCGGTGTTCAGAGCCAGATTAGATGGGGCTTGGAGCAACCTGGGCTTGTGGAAGGTGTCCCTGCCTATGGCAGGGAATTAAATGAGATGAACTTTAAGGTCGCTCCAGCCCAAACCAGTCTGGGATTCCACAGTTTTGTCCAGACAAATGAACTTCTTAGTCTCTTAGTATTTACTGTATGTTAGATGAAAATAATCTCTGCATTGGTGTTTGAAGACATTAGCAGGTCCCTTGCTCCTTATCATTGCTTTATTTTCCTTCCTCAGAGCCAGTGACCCCAGTTTCACATCCTACTTCCCCCATTACCCCTGCATGGACAGTTCCTGTTTCTTCCATACTGTTTCACTTTTCTTCACTCACTTCCCTCCCCTCCACCCAGCTGTACCCTGGTTGAACTCTTTCTCACCTCTCATCATTAACAATTGCAAGGAGTTTTAAGTAACCCATAAAGGGCAGTCACCTTAGCAGTAGATTCTCCTTATTAACCTTAATCTATTTATCCCTAAGGATTCCTGTAAACTGAGGCTGAGGTAATGATAAAGGTTTGTGAGCTGATGGAGGGTTATGTGTATCACAGAATGGGTTGAGTTGGAGGGAACCTTGAAGCTCATCCCATTCCACCCTCTGCCGTGGGCAGGAACACCTTTGACCAGCCCAGGTTGCTCTGAGCCCTGTCCAGCCTGACCTGGAACACTTCCAGGGTTGGAGCAGCCACAGCTTCCCTGGGCAACTTGCGCCAGTGTCTCACAGCCCTGACAGTACACAGCTGTTATTTTCAAGTAGCAGCTATTTATTTTCAAGGAATTTAGTTCTGCAATTATTATATATTCTACCTCCAAGCCACTAATCAGATATCTCAGGAATAGTGGATAGAAAGCAGATGACATTAATGTTCCCTTGTTGATGCTTTCAAATTTCAGGATCTGAGCCTTTCTTAGAAATAAGGTAAATGAAAAGAGACTTTACTGGATACTTTTAGAGCACTAAATTATCATCTGCATAGCTCCTAGGAGCTTGCTTAAGAAATTCCACTCCCTGCTTTTTCTCTCAAAGGTCAAGATTTAACTCAGTTCCTGTATTGTGGTACAAGTAATAGAGCACCTGTATGGAATTGTTGGATGCAGTTAGTTTAACTTGCTGACAGACAAAGCTTAAGCTCCTTTCCATATCTAGCAACAATTCCAGCCTGGATGCAAAAAATGGGTACTGTACTCCTGAATTGCTGTCAGTGGTTTATTCCAAGATGCCTACTGAAAGGCTCTGAAATCACAGGTTCATCAGAGCAGAAAGAGAGAGAATGCAAAGCATTTTAACTGCTGATTTCCATCAGCTCCAGCTCCAAATGGGGTTTGTATTCTTTCAAAACCTGTGTGTTAAAACTGCTGAGATCTAAATCTCAGCTACAAAGTTTTGGGACCTGTTAGCCTGAGCTCCTTCAGCACTCCTGAATTTCGGCAAGAGTCAGAAACCCAAACTTGACACAGCTGTAAAAACACCCTGAGAGCCTGTGGCCTCAGCAAATTCTACTGGTGCAGGCATATTTCAGATATAAATTTTACTTTGCTGTCCCTAGTACTAATTAAGTCAGTCTCTTTTGGTGGGTTTGCAGCCAGGTGTGTCCAGTTCTGTGGCTAACCAGTGCTCTTTACTTAATTTTTCCACTAGTGACATTTCTATCAAACTTTAAAAACAAACAGAAAAATTGGCTTGATGCAATGGCTCCAAGTGTTAATAGTAACATTAGGCTGAGGAAAAGGCTTCCTTTGGATCCTGCTTTGCCAGAGATCTCCACCTCGTGGCTTGCAGGGAGTAGATTTATACTGTGCAGGCTGGCAGCTGCCTCATCAGTTTGGAGAAGGAATTCACTCAGAACTAGACATTGCTGCTGTTTGTCTTCCTAATGGAGTTTTTCAGCCTCCTGAGTAGAATCATCAAGGTTGGAGGAGACTTCTAGAATCATCCAGTCCTACCAATTAACCTGTCACTGCTGTCACCCCTAAACCCTAAACCATATCCTCCAGCATCAGATCCAGACACCTCTTAAACACCTCCAGGGATGGTGACCCCACCACCTCCCTGGACAATTTCCTATTCCAATGCCTGAACACCCTCACGGGGAAAAGAATTGTTGCTAATATCTAATCAGAATCTCTCAGTATTAACCTGGCTGACCTGAGTACTATACTTTGGTAACTGTGTCTATATAAAAGCAGTTGTTAGAACTTCAAGTGTATTTTAATACCCTGAGATGAAGCTGCAGGGTTGATCAGAAGGACTTGGATGTGCTGGAGTTTCCTGGAATGGGATTTCAGCTGATAATGGGGCAATAGGTAATGACCTTAAGGAAAAAAAAAAAAGACCCAATCCCCCACAGAAAATCCCAAATCCAACACTCCTCCCCTTCCTCCAGGCACCCCACACTGATGTTTCTGGGTCTCAGAAAGACCCATCAGGCTTGAATCCTATCCCTGTTACCAGCTCTGGTTGTGTGTGCTGTGATGGCTCTCTGCTTCTGAAATGAATTCAAGTTGTTTTCAGTGCAAAATACCAATTCATTTTATAACCATGCTTGTTCTAAAAGCTGCCAAGGAGATAAGACCGGGAGGGGTTGTCAAGCCCAGTGTGCCAAACCTGGTTTAATTTATCTTAATCTCATTTTCCTGTTTTCCCACTTAGACCCCTGCCCCCTTTTTTTCCAGGAACACATCTAGGTGTCTTTAGAATTCCTTTATTGGCTTTGCTGTGTGTAGCACAGTGCAGCCTTTGTTACAGTTCTAGCTGGAGCTGTTTATACCCAGTGACCCATAATTTGCTCTCTATTCCACTGGTGCACATCTGAAGTAACACCATCAGAATCAATACCTGTAACTGAGAGCTGAAATTAGCTCTGTCAACTTGAACACTGTTTTTGGTCTTGATACTCTGTTCAGAATTAGAAGATTTCGTTTGATTTTTAAATGCCATTTTACCTCACAGGAGCTACAGAACTTCCTAAGCTCAATATGATTCTGTTTAAGTTATTCTTACTGTGGAGAGCAAAAAAGTCTGACCTTGTAAGTAGAGACTCAGAAGTCATGGTCAGAGTGAGGCAAGCAAG